TGCCCTCTCTGTCGTCTAGCTTAACTCATCATCTGCTTAATTGATTGGTACTAGTACATTAGAAAACCATTGCAATTCTATTATTTCCTTTTTTCATCACCAAATTGATTAACCTCCTTGGTTTCTTGATATTCAGTTCATCTCCAAATGGAATCATGTACCAGCAACTCAAGATCGCCCATCTCATCTCTACAACTTACAGCAAGAGAAAACATTAGCGAGCTAGCTAAGATCACAAACGAGAAACTGTTGCATGCATGCCAGCCATATCATTGATGTGTGAGCATAAGGGTGAGGACAAAGATCACTAAAAAACTAGCTAAACTGACACCAAATCGATCGATCTTGTACAGTCAGATCATACGTCGTCGTCTCGTCACCGCCGCTATCGACGACCTGAACAACGTGCCAAACGCCATCCTTGTCGATCTCACATTGCATATGCATGCTGCAAGATTTCTGAACAATTAGCTGCTAGTCCATGAATAATTATCACGCGGGAGCTAGCTAGCTGGATCGATATATATATATATATATATATATATATATATATATATATATATATATATATATATATATATATATATATATATATATATATATATATGCAAATCTAAACAACTTCTCTTCAGCTCTGAATTTTGACTCATATTGTCAGGAACGTCCTCTGCCAACTCAGAAGCGAAAACTAATTGATTACTATATCACTCAAAAATCTCCTGACGATCGAGGAAAATATGGTCTCTCATTATGTTTTTGTCAGATATGTATGAACAATGTGTGTGTGTGTATCATCAAGTTTACTGCACATGCTGATTTACTTCAGCTGGAGCAACACTCTCATCAAGCATGACAAAACCTAGCTAGCCACTTAGCTAGGGGCTAGGCTGAGATATGGACCCCGGGGCCCAATGCAAATTGTTTCGTGTAAGCTACAGTTCTAGCTAGCTTAGCTTGGTCCTTGAACACCAACTCACCAAGTTGTCACTACAAAAATATTACTACCAACTAGTATGATTCTGCTCGATTAGTGTACAATTCCACCAATGGTTGCGATCCATGTTTCAGTAGATGTCAATGCAACCATCCGATCGGATACGTACGTATGTGCAGATAAGATCAATGCTTTTCTACATGAACTGCTACTGAATCAAGATCATTTCTGTTGCATCCATGTGTGATCTCAGAGTTTCAGAAAACATGCAGTACTAGTACAAACCAAAGATGAGTAGTAGTACAGGCTACAGCGAAGATCTGCAATTTTGATCAGATTCAGGACGCGTGCAGTATTTGACACTGCCTAATCCTGTGTCCTCCAACTGACACCAAATCTTTTCTGCAGGTCAGAAATCTAATAATAACAGGGCTCCAGTGAAGTTCTTGTTCATGCAGAGCGGCGTCTAGCTCTGTCGCCACCCCTCGATCGCATTCTCACTTTCGTCTTTAAATATCGCTTCAAAGCAAAGAAACACAGTGACAGCGTCGATCGTCTCAGATTTGCAGCAAGAACAGTTTCTCTCCTTCACCTCCCAACAATGTTTCTGTCAGGCATTCTGCTAAATCAGCAAAGGTACGACCAGTACAAGACGAACAAGAGCATCATCATCGTGAGCTTACTATTAAACCTTTTCTGAATCCTGATGACGAAATGTCACTGCAGATCATTGCTTCTTCTTTTTTTCTCTCTGTCAAGACCTTGTGCATTCTGATTTGGTTTCTGACCACATTTGATCAAAACATACAAATCTAAGCTGAGACGCTGAGATTGAGAGAGATCATCATCTGGGTGATCGATCGATCCGGCCCCGGGGCCCTTGTGCTTGTGAGCTTGCCATTAAACAGCAACGAGGACATTGGCATCTGCTCACTTGCTCAGCCATGAACTGAGTGAACAGAGGTCGGTGCCGGATTGCCGGTCGTTGCGTGCAGCGAGCCTCTGGTATGATCAGTCATGTGTGAGGACGCATCCTAATGCAATCCAAAGGGACAATAAGATGAACTCATTTAGGAATTCAGTTATGCAGTTTGATGCTGAAGGGAAAAAGTAAGATGAACTTATTCGGTTAGTTTGGTGATGAAGGAAAAAAAGGAAGAGAAATTGTCATGCAGTTTGATGCTGAAGGAAAAAGGAAGTCATTCAGTTAGTTTGAATCCGAAGGGGGACAAAAAAGAAGGAAAGTTTGAATTCAAATGTTAGTTTGAATCTGAAGAAGGAAAAAAGAAAAAAAAATTGAATCTGAAGAAGGAAAGAATAAAAAAGTTTGAATTTTTTAATATGAAGAAGAAGAAGAAAAGGGGAAGTTTGAATTCAGATGTTACTTTGAATCTGAAGAAGGAAAAAAAGGGGAAAGTTTGAATTCAGATGTTAGTTTGAATGTGAAGAAGGAAAAAAGAGGAAACTTTGAATTAATTTGAATCTGAAGAAGGAAAAAATTGAATGTGAAGAAGGAAAAAAGAGGAAAGTTTGAATTAATTTGAATCTGAAGAAGTAAAAAAAAACAAAAAAATTGGCTTCGCCCGGGTTCGAACCGGAGACCTTCAGTGTGTTAGACTGACGTGATAACCAACTACACCACGAAACCATCTTGTGCTTTGAATCTTTTAAACCGTACTAATACATAAACTATTCTATCAGTGCTTATTACATGTCAAAGCTTATTATACAGTATCACTTATCAGTAATAAAACTTCCCACACATGGATGGCTCCAGCAAAACTCTTCTTCCACTTCAACAGTTGAACAACGCCTCACTTTTTCACCCTAGCTGAAGAAAAGCAAAAAAAAAAAAAAAAACAGTTTCTTCAGCTTCAAACTTCAGATTTCTTCAGAGTTCCTCAGACTTGAGAGTTCACAACAGTATTTACTGTTAACCATTAGATGATCTCTCTTCATTTCCCCTGTCAGATACGAGCAATGTGCATATATATGGCACTGTGTATGCATGCAATGCTGATTTAATTTCCGGCAACATTTCATCATCAAACAGACAAGGCCTAGTCTGAGCCTTGTGTCCGGTCCCCGGCTGCATATTGTCCTTGTTGTGCGTGTAAGCTACTATGGAGTTGTAGACTGGTCCTTGAACAGCTATGGACTGACACGGAAAATTAACTCGGCTTTGATCTGCTTGATGATACTCCTAGTTGGTGTGCCAGGAGTCAGGACAAGGAGGACAGAGGTAATGCTGGTTAATTAATCACAAGTACTCCAGTGTCTAGCTAGAGTTTGTTGGGTGGTGCAAACTTCTTTTGGATTTTATTTATATAATGAATGAAAATATGTTCTTTATATCCAATATTGATATATGCAGCCAATTCTTTTGGATTATCTACGTGATTATAATATAACTTAGATATTTTAATAAATAGATTTAACAAATAGTTTAGAATAAAATTATCAGCAATGCAGTAGAAAAAAAGTTTTTTTTTTAGAAACATATTTTCAGAAGCATCGAACACACAATATAGTGAAGTAGCTGAAAAAGATAAGGTCGGAAAAACAGGTCAGAAAAACAGGTCGGTAGCATAGTGTTTGCAACACTCTAAGGCCTCGTTCGGTTTAAAGGGGATTAGAGGGAATTGGAGAGGATTGAGGGGGAATAATTTCACACCACAGTAGGTGTGGAATAAATCAACTTCAATCCCTCCCTCACATGAATAAACCGAAGAAGGCCTAATAGTGTACTTATCAGCTTCTGGTTTGACTTCCATCGAAGTGAATTTTTATGTTTTTAAAGAGTTTACTCGATGACCCTCGTATATAGTATAGGGGATCTTATTGCACGGTTTAAGGCCTGAACCATATGAGGATGGATCCACGTGTTAAAGGGTGCCTTTCTCGACTAGTTTTAGACTTTTAGGCTGTGTTCAGTAGGGAGAGTTTGGAAACTCTCCCTCCAAACACGTAAAACGAGATGGTTCATTAACATGTGATTAATTAAGATTTATACTTAGCCTAAAAAGTTATGGGTAAGGTCTTTCTTTCGTTTGTTGAGTTTCTTTTTTTAATAAAAAAAAAGATCGGAGAAAGTAGCTCAAGAGAAGCAATGTTGAAGACAGAAGACTGCAAATTGCTAGTGACATTCTTTTATACAGCTGGAAGGGTTAAGATTGCTGAAGGAGACTAATTTTTATATTTGTTCCTGATTTGCTAATTAATGATCCAACATGAGAAGTTCCTTGTAACATAGTGGAGTACTCGATTGATGGTCAGGAAGATCAACTGCCCATGAGCTAAGCTCTGCCGAACAGGTAAGCTTAGCAAATTGCAAACCGCAAGAAAACATTGGAGTAATGTGTTACAAAACGGGCCTGAAATCACATCGGAAACCAAACCGCGGAAGAATGCCATAGGAGATCCAAATATGATGACGACACCGAGACACGATATTTGATAACGGAGTTCAGCCAAGGCCTACATCTCCAGGGCACTTATTACGGGCACTCCTCCCCGATCCAGCATATACAGCGTATCAGAGTTACGACGACTCACGGCCGGTCGCCGCCGGCAGCCGCTCCCTCTCGCTATGCTATGTCGACATGCGGTTACAACAGGCACGCCCCTCTATTTATGAGAGATCCTATGATAGAGTCCGACTCGTACTCTAGTACTCCTAATACCTATTATAACTCTAAATCCTAAACTGTAACCGACTACGTAGACATATTTGACATAAACTCTAACATAATGTAAAAGAAAAAAAAATTGGATCAAAGATTTAATGTTCAGGAACAAAAAATGGTAGATCAAATTGAAAACAAGACGAAAACATATCAGAATAACCCAAAAGGAAAATATTTGAAGCAAAAAGTAAAAGAAAAAAAGGGAAAAAAATGGCTTCGCCCGGGTTCGAACCGGAGACCTTCAGTGTGTTAGACTGACGTGATAACCAACTACACCACGAAACCGCTTTGATTTGTGTCGCAAACAACGTTTATTTAATCAGTAACAATCTGCGAATTGTACAATAGCAGTAGTCCACGAGACAGAAAACCTGAATACATAGCAAAAGAACAATGACAGCTTATTTATTTCAGTTCCTGAGACTAACAATAGAACATGCACACACAGGACATACTAGAACAATACAACTTATTTATTTCAGTTCCTGAGAGTAACAAATATTTTGCGGATTTCTGGAAAAAAAAACAATCAAATATACTGATGTTTACACAAATGCTAGAAACAATAGCCTCTTATCACATACTACTGCTGCACAGAGCAAAATAATTCTTCTCCTTAGAAGCAGCACTCCTCCAGCAGGCAACAGCAGCAAAGAGCGGCCAAACTGCAAATAGTACAGGTGAAATAATCAGCAAATTATGTGTTGGGGCCTAATATCATGAAGGTACCAACAGGGCAACAAATGTGGACAACAACTTCATAACAGTGTGATCCAAGTAATGAATACGGATATCACGTCTGATTTACGATGTTCTTATCATTTTTCTAAAAGAAAAATAAAATGGTTGTATGTGTGTTTCAGAACCTTAATCTGTCTAGTATGCCATAAGCCACTGAAAAAGCTTCATTTTTTTTCCAGTATGTTGTCAGTCTATTCCCAGAGACTTTAAGAGTGTGGATTCATAACCAGAATGCTTAGTCAAATTCATAATTTACTCTTAAGTTCTCCGTGTCAACATATACTGAAACTTCTGACGATAATGAGCTGAATGGCCATCTACAATTACAGGATATGTGGCTACTCTCTTACTGTAATTTCATATTATTTCTAAAAGGTTGAATCTAGTCAACTTATAACCAAGAACATCCTACTTCTAGGCTTCTAGCAAAAGTGACATTTTGGTATGTATGGCAGCTTCAAGATGCTTTACATTTTGTAACCTTTTGAACTCACTTGCTATTGACAGTATAAGTTGAGTTTACTATGCATATTACAGCATCTTATACTCATGGCAGAACCATTATAGGGAACATTGCCTATAATAAAAAAGCTAACTTGAGACCAAATCAAACTTCGCCTGCTGCAATCCCCGCAAATTCTCTATCCAGCTCATGAAAAGAAAAATGAAATAGAATAATCAGTAACCTTTCCTACTACTTCAAACATTGCCTGCTGCAATCCCCGCACTCTTCTTCCATTCATGAAAGCAGGAATAACACCCTCCTAACTCTAAAAAAAGACATCTACTACTATAAGCAAATGATAATATAAAAAAAAAAGAAGGCAAAACCATCTCATCATCTGGATGGAAGCATAAAAAAAATATCACTAACCTAACTTATCCTCATAGAAAGCAAACAATAATATTAGCAGTAAGTACAACACAGTACATACACCCAAAATCATCTTACCATCCTTTGAGAAACCCAGCTCCAGAACCCTCATCACCACAGTGGTGGTGGCAGTGGTCATATGGCAGTGGTGGCGGCGGGTAGTAAGGTTGCTGGCCCTGATTGAAGTAGCCCTGGTACCCTGGTGGTGGAGGCTGGTGAGGTGGGGGGTAAGGCCCCTGTGGTGGAGGGTACACACCATGGGAGCTAGGGTAACCCTGAGGAGGGTACACAGCACCTGATGGAGGTGGGTATGGATATGGCCCGGATTGAGGATACCCTGCAAATTTCACAGGAGATATATTAGATCAGGCATCAATTTGACATTTTGGTATGGATTCACACCTTCAGGAATTGCAAATCTGAGGTCCCCCCCCCCCCCCTAAATTTCAAGAACAGCGACGAACGGTGGACATGGTTAGAACATCTTACTAAACAATCGCAAGAAAAGGATTTTTATCGAGACAAGAAAATTATAAGATATCCGGAGTAAAGCTTGGCTAATTTCAAGGATCCAGCAAAAGGGCCCTCACAAACTTGAATGGTTGACTGTTTATTGCTCAGCTAACTTCTGGATCCAAGAACAGTACTAGATTGGTTCAATCTTGCGGGAAAGTTGAGATCTTTGATAATAAGAGCAGTACTACGTTGCTAGTAACAAATATAGCAAAAAGGATTGCGAAAATCTCGAGAAGAGATGCAGATCTTGCCTGGTGGAGGGTAGGGTTCGTCGGGAGGGACTCTCTGGTAACTCATAATTCCCCTTCTCCTTTCTGAATTCTTGCTTGCTCGCTCGATTGCTTTGGGCTACTTCTGATCTTTTTATTCTTTGAGATATTTGCGTTGTTGCTGGAGACTTTGAAACTGGAGATATAACACCCAGAATTTAATTCATGATGTTTACAGGAGTAGGAATTTTTAATTGTTCCTGGTAAAATTAAAAAAAAAGGAAAGGAAATTCAACAGAAGTCTTTTATGGTTGAAATAGGAAAAAAAATACAGTTCACAACAAAAATCATCAAATCAGCTTAAACCAAACAGGATTTGAAATTTTTTAAAAAAATCAACGAATCAGCTAGAGTAGTTTAACTCGGTTGGTTAATTAGAACGTATGGCTATTAACGATAATAAGGCCGAAGATTTACTTTTTCCTGGAGGAATCATCCAAGGAAATTTTCGTTTTTGCAAGATCAATTAAAGTAGTATATATACTCCTATATACTAACCAAATAAACGTTGGTAGAGGTCGGATATGTAAATTATTTCCAATATCTTTTAAAAAAACTAACCAAATAAACAGCTAGATAATTACGTCAACCAATGCATTAACGAAAATTTTAGGCTGCCTAATTATCTCGGGGTCTCTACCTCTCATGGGCCTGAAGCCCATTATCACAGTTTCGTAGGCCCATCTGAAGAGGCGTATCGGCCCATCTGTTCACTCGATGTTCCTCTGATCCTCTCCCTCCAAATTAAGGATATAAACCAATGCAAATTAAATTCCAAATGCAGCTAAAATTTATAAGGACGACATCAGAGCTAATTTACTTTATCTGGCAACATCTTTTTTTTTTGAAGAAAGGGCAATCTGGCAACATCTTTAGCTATTGATGATATGGTGAATATTCTTTAAAAATGAGATATGGCCACAGTTGTTCTCTAAAAGTGAGCTACAGCACTTTAGTAGTCTCTAGGAGCATATGGAGTCCTTTTTGGACCTATTTCTTTTTTGAAGACTCCTTTTTCGACCTTATATCAATGTCATTATTCGAAGGTACCAACACACATGGCCATGCGTAGTAGTACATATATTTCTCCTACAGTTGTTGACTTGTTGTACTGCTAAAGGAGAACCTGTACTGCACACAACAGAAGTACAGAACCAAAGTCAAAGCATTTTATAGAATTAATTAATTATCTTATCAAACATAAGAATTGTGACAGGTGTTTTTGTCGAGGGTGAACTACTCAAGCGGGAGACAGTGAGGCCCCCCTTGTTGGTTTGGCCGGGGGTAGCGGGTGAGAATCGAGAACTCGGTAGAAAATGTGATGTAGAGGGGGTCAGGCCCCTCTAGAACAAAGAGACAAAAGGAATTTATACAGGTTCGAGCCGCTGAGACGCGTAATACCCTACTCATGTTCTTGGTTGATCGACCAAAGATTACAGGTGCTTGAGCTGTCGAGAAACAAGCCTCGGTTCGCCAAAGAATCGATCCCCCCTTCTAGGTAGGCCTGGAACTCCTTTTATACCTCAAGGGGTTACCATATGGGCCCAAAAGCCTATCTAGGGGTGAAAGAATGCATGTTTTGCAATAAATGCATGTCTTGGAAGTTCCCCCACGAGCGCCTTGGTCATGGGGACTATCAAATCATGTCGCCTAACACGAGGGACGCTCGTGTCATTCGCCATTTAATAGGTGAAGACTTCTGGGTCCTCACTTGCGTCAGGAAACGGAGATCTTGCTCTAACCGTAGTAGACGTACCGACTCTAGCTGTGATGATGAGGGGCTGGCTAAACCCCTCATCATCACGATCTGATGGGACAGGACAGGCTGCACGCCGCCTGATATGCGTGGAAGTGCGCCTGACACCCTTGGTCCCATTGGTCATTCGACCGGTCACAAACCGGTTAGGCGTGCTGCGCGCCGCATTAAATGCGGCGCGGCGCGACCACTCAGGTCGCCATAAATGCGGGTAGGTGGGCGTCTTGGAGGCGGCCACCTAACCCAACAAGCGTGGCGACCCATGGAGGGGGTTGCTCCCCCGACCCCCAATCACGGAGGAGGCAGCTGCCGCCCTACCTCAAGCCCGACCCCCCTCGGGGGAGAGCCACGTGGCATTGGGGGGCAGCCTCCTCCCTCTAGTCTTTGATACCTCCGGGTCCATATCATCGATAGTGTTCTTTCTGCTTAATTAATAAAATGATTAGAGAAATATTTCTCGAACTTCTAAACAGCACGATTTTTTATTTTTTAAAAAAGAATCTATATATGAATTTATGAAAAACTATTTTAAATCTCCTTTTAATTTAATAATATTTAATTCATTTTTTTATTCCTCCTATAATTATTACAAATCATTCGAGGATTAACCATTTAGCACAAATTAAAATAAAATTTCATGAACATATGCAAACTCAAACAAGGCTAACTTTCAAGAATGTCATGTAGCTAGGCCGGCCATCCAGGTATATGGAACAAAATCCCCTCAGCATAAATCCACAGTAGGAATGTAGGATATTAGAGATGCAATTAAGCCTAGCATGAGCAATAAGAACCACTCAGGCTAGCCAAGGAGACTGCCCATGAACCAGCTTAAAGGATCATTAAATTGCTAATCCTTCAGGGAGGACACAGGCAAGTCATCCTTGGCTATCAGAGATAAGTCCTTACTGCCATCCATGTAAGGCTGCTTCTCTCTTTTGCTTCATCTAGTGTTGGTTACCTTAGCAGCTTAGCTTGAATGGTCTGTACTGCATTGGATTGTTGCTTCCATTCAACATCTATTTATATATACCTTGTAAAGAACAGTATCTGATACTTTGTGTCTATGTAGGGCCTCTATAGAATATCTTATCATTACAAACTTTTAGCTAGCAGCATATAGATATGTTCCAACTTTTATGCATGTCAAACCTGTATATATGGCTTTGCTGAAGACACGAGCAGATGTGTCAAGAAATGATGAGCACACCATATTCTGATGGCAACATATATACATAGAACTTTACACTGGATACATAAGGAAAATAAAGATTTCCTTGGATTTTGTGAAATAAGAACAATTTGACCCCCGGAAAGGGATACATATATAGAGGGATCTGATTCTGATGAAATCCATGCTAAAAGATAGCTGAATGCCAGATCGACAACTCAATGAATAAGGACCAAGAAGTTGGATTGACTTCTGATTTGCTCTATCTAGCAGCTAGTAGTAGTTTTCAGGCAAAGTTGACAAATCATGATGACAATTACTATACTTAATTAAGATCAATATATGAGGGTGTGAGTATATATATCTTGTTGAATGCTAATGAATTTATACACGTCCTTGGAGAAGTTAAAAAAAATGTTCTTGGAGTTTTCTGAATTTCTTACTCGTCAGTATATCTTGTTAAGATAATTATTTGTTTGCATGTATATATATGTATGACATATATCAGTATAAAGTCATATACGCCCAATTATTTTTAATTAGTTCATCGGTTCGATCAACATCGCCATAACTGAAGCCTGCATATCTTTCACAGATCATCGAACAGAGAGTAATTTAAATTTTGTTTATACCATGCATGCATTTCATAGCAAAACAAGAAGTTCACCAGATTTTTTTTCCAGAACATACAAAGATATGATAATGATGCGGGCAGCCGGCCTCTTTGCACGGGATGCTAGTGCTCGATCGCTAGCTGTTTGGTTGAGATATGATGCTTTCTGAATTGCAACTTTCAGGCAAACGGTTTTGCCAAATGCATTAATTAATAATAAACTAAAGCAGCGTGAAAACACAGTAAAGTTTATAACATGGATGGAATTAAAAAGAACTGAAGAAAAAAAAACGTCAAAACACAGTAAAGTTTCATTAAGCACTTGCATAGTTGCATTATAGCCAACTTAATTGTGTTCTTTCTTCTAACTGAATATAGATCATTTAAACAAAAAAAAAACGAGATTTGAAAGGAAAGACGTCCCTCCTGACAATTTTTTAGAAGAAATTGCGAGCGTGTTAGGGATTGAACATATGACCTCGGGGTTAAAACCACACCCCTTGCCACTACAGTATTAAGTGCATCTCATATAGATCATTTAAACAAACAATCCATGAATAAATTAGATCTCTATCTTTAGTTTCAGACTAGTCTACCGATATCATGCAAGTATCTATGCTGGATCAACGTAAATCAGCCTTTTTTTTAAAAAAAAATACAATATAGCGGCTAGGAGTTACAAAAGAGATGCTAGAAAGAAGGGGAAGGGGAGGGAAAAACAATACTCTCTCCTTTCAAATTGATTATCATATATATTTATGCACTAAGACCAAGAATAATTTAAATCACATCAATTAAGACATGAGGCGCCTACAAATCGGGCGCTGATTTTTTTTTTTTACAAAAATCGGGCGTTGTTCCACCAAGTAGGTCCGAATTGTTTCACTAAGTAGATCGAAAATGTTTCAATCGTTTAAAAAGTTGAAACACAACCAAATCACCTCATGGAACATTTTGCTACAACGTATGAAACAAACGGTTTTCAAAAAATCGGGTGTTGTTTCACCATATATAAAATAATGTTTCAGCAAATAGTGAAATGATGTTTCAATTTACTGCAACATTTAATCTATACATAGTGAAACATTACGAATACACTTGCTGAAACATTGTTGGTGGAACAAAAATTGAAACGGATTCCCTTAATAGAGCGTTTCCATAATATGTGGGTAATTTGTTGCAACGGCGCATGTGGTGGGTCACGTGGTGGGGACGGCACGGAGGCTCGGGAGGCGCGCGCAGAGGCGCGGGGAGGGGCGGGATCCCGATTTTTCTGGTGCTAATCGAGCGCCCGATCCCCAGCATTTTCGATTAAGACACCATGCACACATTATCCCACAATGCATGCATCAATTAAAACACCATGCCAATCATTACTTAGAGCAAGTTTAATAGTATAGTCAACTACTAACTCCAATTCATCTATAGCCAAACTAATAGCTCATTCATACAATAGTTACATACTACACTATCAATAACTGATCCAACCTGTCACACACACACTGCGTCTTGGAGTCCGTACTACAGCTGACTATAAATATGTAGCCCGTTGCTCTTCTCTCTCCTCATTTATCTTCTTAAAATATGTTAGCAGCTGGCTTATAG